GCTGTCAAGAGAAACATGTAGCACACGAGGTTACCCTACTGGCTACCCATGGTCCCATCGCTCCTTATCACTCCAGACGTCGACCAGATTGGACCGAGCTGACGTTGCTCTGATACCAAATCAAACGGGGATGTCACGCCCCGTACCACACGAAGCGCGAGCATCCCACCTCCGGTCATTTGTGATGCAACGCTCCCAGGATGCGTCGCCGACCCAACGCCCAATCAGAGATAAGGCACATGCGGAAACAACGTATATAAATATATATATACACCCGTACAAAACAACACACGTGAGACCAAGGTAGAACAGCCATCAAACAAGAATATACAATTGTACTAATATAGTAAAAACCTTTTTACACTATCCTTTTGTACAACTCCAAAAACCTCAACATCAGCAGTCAACTGCCACTATATCAAAAAGGGTAAGTGGCACCGGTGGTTAGGCTAACTAGGGTAGGAACGCCATTCAAAAGAGACAGTCTTCGCTTCCCAGGGTACCGGCCTGCTCTAGGGTTCCCAGTCAGGGTTCGAGGACTCCGATGAATCGCCCGACGGTTCCTCTGAAGACTCCTCCGAGGGCTCCGACTCCTCTGACTCCGTATCCTCGGCTACGATCCTCTCGTCCTCTGAATCTAGCTCTAGCTCTGGGTCCAGATAAAGACCTAACTCGTCATCTTCCTCAGCTCCTATCTCTACATCGGACCCTACCTCGGCGACCTCTCCAATTTCTTCCTTATCATCTATGTCCGTGTCTTCGAATTCCTCTACTTCGTCATCGAGCTGATCAGGATCTTCGGCGACTACTTGAGGCTCCCCATGCATGGGCTCATCCATGCCGTCTATGTCATACACATCCTGAGGATTGATTATCTCACCATCAGCCATCCGTGGAATCATCAATCCATCTTGGTCGACCGGCACATCAAAAGTTCTAAGGGGTTGTCCGAGGTTTCCGTCCGCATCTCGCAAGCACCAGGCCACGTACTCCTGAGTCTGATGAAAATACTCTCCCACGTTTATAAACACCACGGATCGATATCTCACATAAGATTCCCCATTTCCTGCGAGGTATGTACTGTTATACTGGCGTATCTGTACAGGTATTCCAAAAAGCGGCAGATTCGGCATCTTTACGGCTGTGGGTCTGAAAATGTGGGTTATTACAACCGTGAGACGAATCTCAGCGAGTATAACCCCTAGACCTAGGCTAGACTAACATGCATTCTCCTGACAGGCAAAACAACATAATACACAGACAATGGTTTGGCCTTTGGCCCAAACAGAACATAAGAATTGCCCTGTAGGTTAGGCAGTTCATTAAATTCCGCAAGGTACGTGCACAAATATGCTGATCACACGTGCATTACGCGCATGCTCATATTCACAATGGCCATCTCGCATGCCGGGTCGTGCATTTTATGCATGCAATGTCAATGTCATGCGATGTTCCCATTTCGGTTTACCCAGTACACTGTCTCAATTATTAATTACGACTCGAGCCCACACAATTCCCGGCCCGGTGCGTCTAGCCTGCTACAAAGTGCATGAGGCGCAACACCGATCTGGCCCAGTGTCTCTAGCCTGCTACAAAGTGCATGAGGCGCAACACTGATCTCCCTACGAACTAGAGTCAGCGTAAAATGCATCAGGTTGGTCGTCTTCCGGACGTATCGGGCATCGTCCTGCTACAAAGTGCATGAGGACGGCATCGACCCGAAGGCCCTTAAGTGATCACACGGCACCTTGCCAATTTTATCTGGGCCCCGCGTAAAACGCATCAGGGCATAATTAGATGATCACATGCTCATGTCAGACACGCATTCTCGCATAATTTTGTCACACACCTCATTCTCGGCACACCCAATGCGTGTCCATGAAATGCAACATAATGCAACATGAGCATCAATAAACCACAGGCACTCAGTCAAATCGAAATCACCACACAGTGCCCAATTCATAAATAGCGTGCTCACTTGGCCAGTTAATACAGGACGGCCCAATTTCAAATACACAATTTAAGCCATCAATTGGCCAATCACACTTCGCACGATTCAGTCACACGAGCACACAACATATCATTTCACAATTAAGCACCAATCGATCAACAACCAATCACCTCGGGTAATCCCGGTCATTCAGCTAACAATTCTCGTTGCCCGACATAATCCGGTATATTCCTCAAAAATACGGACAGCCACTATTTCCCCAATCCGGGTCCAATAATTATCCATAATAATCCCACTAATTTCCTCGGATTTTATTTCCACCAAACCATCCCCAATCCAGTCCGAATTATACACTGATACTACCCAAGCTAGTCCAAAATACACCGATAATACCTAAGCTAGTCCAGAAAATCGCACTATCAGTCCTAATCCGGGTTTAGGAGGTATACTCACTTAATTTTGGACCACGACGACGAGGAACGGCGGCCGATCACCGACGAACAGTGGAACTGGCGGCGGCGTTCCTAGCGGACGGCGTATGGTTCACGGCGACCAGCGTACGGACGACTGTACGGACGTCGTACGGACACCGTACGGACGGCGCGGGGGACGGTGGCCAGCGAGGCGGCGGTGGCTGGCGCGGCGGCCGTACGGACTGTACGGATGTCGGAGAGGGAGAGAGAGAGAGAAAGGATGGTGGGGATGAGGGTGAGGCTGAGGCGACGGCACGGCGGCGCGTGCGGCGGCGACGAGCTCCGGCGACCGGCGAGGAAAACCGGCGGAGGAGGAAAACGGAGGAGGAGGGGCTGTTCTGGGGTGTTCTGGCCGAAAATGAGGGAGGAGAGAGAGAGGCTGGTCAGATCTGGTCAAATATAGCAGCCCAATTGCACCACATGTCGCCGATCCGGGAGTTTTGACCAAAATACCCCTAATCCTACGGCCCTAATTCATCCGAATCTAATAATGGATGGGCAAAAAGGTCAATAGCCCCAATAATTCAGCTGATAATCACTCTTAAATATCCCAAATAATTTTCCAAAAATTCGGACCCGAAAATAGCCCAGGGGCAAAATGGTCATTTTTCCGGTCCCGGGGCGAAATTCCAATTTTTGCACGTATCAACCCCAGATGTGTGTGGCCAACATAATATGGCGTCGAAATCGCGAAAACAGCCCTTTAAGCCCTCGAAAATCGACTGCGAAGTCCTGAGAATAAAATAATATTATTTTTCATTTCCAAGCCAAAATTCCAATTTTTGACCGTAACACTTCCAAATGTGTGTGGCCACCATAAAATAACATCGGCCTCGAAAAATAACCTCATACGGGCACAAAAACCAACCTCGGCCTCCAGAGGGACAAAATCGTAATTTTTGACTTCCGGGTCGAAATTCCATTCTTCGACTGGACTAACTCCAAACGTGTGTGGCCAGTATAATATGACGTCAGAGTCGTGAAAATAGTCGTATAAGTCCTCGAAAATCGACATCAAACTTCGGGTCTAATTTTGTGATCAAAACTCGCTAAACTTTCAATTTCAGGGTCTCTCACTAAGAGGCAGCTGTTTAGAGGTTACGCGTATCGACCTAGGGTTATCCAAGTCATGACGGTCCCGATCATTGAGAGAATGAGAAATTATCACTAGTCCTAGAGGTCCCGATCGTTCGATTTAGGTCCAGGACTGGTTGGCCATGTGCACTGTCGGACAGGCAGTATCACCTGCGATCCAATTGTACATTATTGGCCTTGGCCAAACCAATTCCGTCACCTTTCCTAAGATCGGCCCACATTGACCCAAAATATTCTCTCATCGTTTCTCGTGATCGGTGTCCGATTCAAAATCGAGTCCCTGGTCCACGTACCATTTTCCTAGTTAGCCATACCCCATTGGTTAGTATCCCGAGAGTGATCAGCTCTGGGCGAGACTTACTAAAATGAAATGTGAAATATTGTCAATTTTATTGATCCCGGAATTACATCGAAATTCGGGCTGTTACAATAGTGGTGGTTATCTGTCTGTTTGATTTATTTCCTTTAAAAAGAAAATTCCAAAAAAAGATTAGTTAGGACTTGAATTGATCATATTAGAAGATAATGATGCATGTTTAGGATAGGTTTAGAATAACTTTCTTTGAATAAGTTGATAGGATAACTTTTTAATTTAAATTAGGAATTAGAGTAATTTATTTCCTAGTTTAATTTAGATATTATCCTGATCTCGATGGTTCATTTTAGGGTAATTCTTAATTTCGAATTTTCATAAAAAATACCAAAAAGAAGTCACTTTAGGATAGATTAAATTATCATTTTCTCTAGGATAGATTGCATGTTAATTTGAGTAATTTTTAATTCCGAATTTCATTTGAAATTACCAAAAACAAATCATTTGTCCGTCATTAGAATTATGTCACGTCGTCGCATGACATATAGTTTGCATGTTAGGTTGCATTAATCGCATGTTAATTTTTGCACGTCATTACATATAGATTAGCTTTCATTTAAATAAGTGAAAATCAAAAAAATATTGAGTGAACTGCTTGTTAATTAGAAATCATATTAGGATTGTTGATGTGATTTTCTAGCTAACAATGCAGATGCTTACGTTGCTTCGAGCTAAGTAATTCTCCCAATCTTGCAATTTATTTAATGTTTTGATTATTGGGTGTTATTTTGGTGATTTGCGCACCCGTATGATCACCTCACGTGCTAGTGACTAAGTTAAAATGAATCCAAACTGTCTGCCAAAACATTTTAAAAAAAAAAAAGAAAAAGAAAAGGTACTGAAAGGGCGTTAGACTAGCTCTAGCGTAACCAAGTCCCCGAGCTTAGAATCTCTAGTTCGTAGTAATAAAACATATATCCCTATGTTTTATTTAGATTTCTAATCGACCTACCACAAATAGATTAGTGGCGACTCCAAGCATGAAAATATTTGCACGTTAAGAACTTAAGTCCTAAGTTGCGAATTGGTAGGGCTCGAGAGGGCTCGAGTTAAGCTTAGTCTTAATAATCCATTAACCTGAGAAAATTTAGATAGCGACAAGGCACATTCAAATTAATCAGGAGTGTCCGCTCAAGTGCTGCCCTTGCCCTTGGAAAGCTCAGTGCACTTAGTCCCAGGAGTGACCCCTTGGTAGGTGTCCTTTGTCCAACTTGCAGGTAATGCTTGTTATCTTTCTTGATGCACGATGTCCTGGAAAGACTGTTATGTAACAAAGTGAATCTGGACTGCCCTCAGGCTTCGGGTGCTGGAATTAGGGAGGCCAATTTGACTGCTTTAAAAGGTGTGGCGGGGTATGCTGGAATGAATGTGAGCAGTGCTGTCAAAACTCGGGTGTACATGCTCCTAAAAGATATGATTCATCACGATGATGATCAAGTTCGAATATCTGCTGCAGACGTATTGGGCGTCATATCTCAGGTCTGTCATAAGTACACCAGGCTCTCTGTTTTTGCTTTTATGTCCTCCATGCTGTGTCTTGTTATCTTTAAGAATGATACAAACTGCGAAACTTGCCCATGGAGTTGTTCTTGGGATATCTGTTCATATTTGGTTAATCACATTACTGCTTTTCAGAGTCAACATTTTTATAATGCATGGATGGACTTGCCTTGGTTTTATAGTCATATTTGGTGACAACCGCCCATTCATCCCTTTGATGTTGATAATGTAGTACATCGAAGATGCCCAGCTGAATGATCTTATTGAAGAACTCCTGACATTGGGTTCTTCTTCAAGCTGGTCCACAAGGCATGGATCGGTGCTTACGATAGCATCAATGCTCCGGCATAATCCTTCGACTGGCTGTGGATTGCCTCATTCCTGTCCACTGTTGACTTAAAGGCGGTTTAACTGATGAGAATGTGGTTTCATTCTGCAGAACCTAAACTTACCTTTCTGATAATTCACTTGTACAAGTCTCCAACATACTGTCTCTCTCTTAGTCTCCTATTCGTGAAACCTCAACCAAAGCCTTGGGAAGACTACTCCTCCATCAAAGTCAAACTGATCATAGTAACACCAGTGCGCATTCAGATATTATGTTGCTCATTGTATCTGCTCTGCACGATGATTCCAGTGAAGTTCGAAGAAGGGCATTATCCTCTCTAAATATGTTGCAAGGGTACGTACAGTTTTCCATTGAGTACCTATCTCTTGTTTACTGCAAAGTTATATGTGCTCTCAGGACTTATCTTTCTTGTAGGTAAATCCCACAATATTATTGGCCAATCTTTCAATCGTTGGCCCTGCGCTTGCGGAATGTTTAAAGGATGCCAGTACTCCAGTGAAAGTTGATGCAAAGAGATGTTGTCTGCACACCTTCCAATTGACGAAGAGTGCTTTCTGTTACCTCTCTTTACTGTTTGACATAATCTTTAATGATGCGCATTAGTTCAATTTGTCCTCCCTTTTTATTTTTGAAAAATTGAACTAGCACCACTTCTTCTAACGCGGCACTCTTCCATACAGGTGCTGAAAATATTCAAGCGGCACAAAAATACATCACTGGTCGAGATGCTCGAAGAATATCCGAGTAATCTTAACAGAAATATGTCTTTTTTTAAGAGTGGTACGTCATTGCTATCTCTTTTATCACTTCAACTGGATTAAAATATTTTGTTGCTATTGTTTCCTTCAGTGGTTTCGTAGAGATCTATGAAAATGGCCGCTCTTGAATGTGTACATTATCAATAGTCTATTCTAATTAACCATATTGCATTCGTCCCATGAGGTACGGCTTTTTGATGTAACAGGCACATCCAGAACTTGCTTCACTATGCTACAAGTGATCATGACAGTCATGTCTATGTGTTCCATTGACACCATTTGCATTTATGGCCTTTTCCTTCTCATCGAATTCCTCTTTTTATTGACTTTTGTATTAGTGGCAAAGGGAAGTAAACACTGCATCCATGTATTTTACAGATGAAATGTCGCAGGTTTTTCCTTTTCTTGGCAACTTACAAGTGTATCATCATTATGTTGCATTATTTAATCATAGCTTCGCTCGCTACTGCTCGAGTGAAACTCTTTATTACATAGGTACGCTTTCACAATTGTTTTGGTCTCTTGTTTAGTTCATATGAAGTACAATATGATTATCCATGTATCACGTTGTTTCTTTTTTACGACGATGTGACTCACCTAAGTTGGTTGCCTCAACTTTTTGATGGTTCTGAATATTTGATATGCAGCGATGATAGTGAAGGCAGCGATGATGAGGGGACGAGTGACTAAAATTTTGTTTGCTGCTCCTCTTTATTCTATGATCCTGTTTATACAAGGTTGGCAAGATTTATACAAGGGAGGGTATCGCAGCCAAATTCTGCAACACATTGACATCCCAAGGCTGTGGACTGACCGCGCGAGAGATGTCCTCCCAGTGTTTTGCTCTTATCAGGGTCAGTTTGCCTCAAAGACTCGATGGTCGATCAAATACTCGATCAACAAGTGGCGTGCATGCGATACCCATTTTTTGGTACCTTCTTGAATAGTTATTGCCAATTAAGGAGTACATTTTTTTCCTTGGATTATGTGCACCGATGTTTTCCGAGGTGTTCGGTTTTGATTCCACATCAAGAATTTTTCAGCCATTCTTCACGGCTATTACTGGTCATTGTACCAACACAGTTCTGATAGCAACAGTGTGTAAACGTGGAAACTACTGGCTAGCACCTTTTACAATTTCATAGTTTCTGCTTTGCCCGATGATTTTTATGCGGCACTCGAGGTTGCTTTCCCAGTCGTTGGGTAGCCGAAAGACTAAGACATTGCTTCATCGTGATGTTTTTTTTCCTTTTGGGTTGGTACCAACTGGGAGATCTATACACGTTCGCATCTTGCCTTTAAAGCGAGCTCCTTTTTGAGTGGCTGGTACGTGCTTTGTTTCATCACGAACGCTATCCAACGCTTTAATCTCGTTTGCCAATAGTTGGGTACGAAGCATGCTTCAACCAACATAACATCTCGCAGTCATGCTGGGTTGCCGAGTTGCAAGAGTAATTTCTCATGAATTTCGACGACGAAGCAATGGCGGTCAACTGTCGATTTTGATGCTCGACATTGTCGGGTCGAACTTTCAAAGTTCTAGGTGACAAAGTCTAAGCTGACGACCAAATTTCCCTTCAATGAGAGGAGAAGAATCGTTCGAGATTCGAGAATGGAAGCTCACCACATTTGCTATAACCCTCACACTCAGAATATTTTGTTCTTGATGGATCATTTTACTATTGCATGAATTTAATGACTCAAAGTTCCCTAAGATGGACACCCACATAGAGATGAGTGCATGGTTTCTCAGATCAAGGATTTTCACCCACAGAAAATACAAAAGTAATAATAATATTCAAAGTGAAAACAGCCAGCATAGAAGCCTCCCCAATACGTTGAAATTTCAATCACAAACAGCTGATTTCTCTTCCTTGGGTTTCGTCAACCTCAAAAGTCCAAACCCTAGATGCTTGTTTCACTCCTAATAGAAAAAAACACGTAGTTTAATAGCTACAAAACAAGGTCTCGTTCATTAGTAGGGTACGATACTAAATTGTTGTGCATCATGCATGGTCAAAGGGCTTAGGCTAGCGCATTTCCAGATAAGTGGAAAAATACGAGCAACTCTAATCGGATTATAACTAACTCGATGCGAGACCCTCAATACAAACGTATCGATGTTAATATTCACCTCTTGTCTTAAGTTCAAATCACAAGATGAGTACCTGGATTGCACTTGGACTAAAATCTTAAAAAGTTTCGACTTATGACTCGGTAAATATATAGTTCAATACCTGATAAATTTATTTTCGCTCATCTTTTGTTTTTACGTACTACTGTGTGTGCTTTCTTAATAGGACAAAAAATAAAAATACATGTTATGATCGTATTTATTACAAATCAGGTCACTTGTCAAATGACACTTATTCCAAGAAATATCTTATGATTATTTTGTCCTGTGTTTTTTCAATCTGTACCAACGCTGTAAATGAATTGAATACAATGCGGTAAATGTGTTCAAACGCTGAGGATGATGAGTTACGGCTCTCTCTGCCGCGGCATTCAATAAGCTAATTTGAACTGAAACTAGACGTATGTGGACGTACACTTTCATTATATTTCTCTCTTTTGTTCTTTCCCTGAAGGTGGTGACATATCATCTTCACATTTGGCTACATATACACCTACATTTTAGGTAGAGATGGAGGGGGGATGTGGGTAAGTGCCACGTGGCATCAACCCAATGTGGGACGCATACAAATTGGGGTGGTGCTTTAAAGTTTTGGAGAGAGAAAAGGGTGGGAAAAAAAAGAGAGGGAGAAACCTCGAGCAGCTGGGAAGGGAAGAGAAATGAGAGGAGGGAAGAGAAAGTTTTAGAGAGAGAGAGAGAGAGTATTAATGGCAAAGTATATGGTGGCAGATGAACACAATGAAGGAGTGCGATAAAAGAGGGTTGGGCTGTTGAATGAATTGGGGTAGGTTTGAGTTTTTATAATGCCTCTTCTGATCTCTCTTGGAAACCCCAAAAAAGAACTTTCAACTCCCTCTATCAATTTTCTTTCTTTTGGGTCTTGGGGGTGCAACTCCATACCAAATGCACCCAAGAACACAGGTGATTGAGCACAACACACACATACTAAATATTGAATCAGGCACTGCAGCAGAGAGGCAATGATGGCCTTCTTTGGTTTAGCTGCATATCTTCATTTAATCTCAGCCACCACCTTTCCTTCTCACCATTAACTCTCTCTCTCTCTCTCTCTCACACACACACACACACACACACACACACACACACACAAAAAGTGTGTTGGGTTGGGGTCATTTTCTTGGTATATATCCTTTTTATGGGTCTGCATGGGTATTTGGAGTTGGTAGAAACAAAGGTGAATTTGGGTTTCTGCAGCAACCTGGTTTTGCTAGTAATGGCGGGATAGTTCTTGCGTTTCCTTTTCCCTTCATTGTCTCTCTCACTCTCGGTGTTGTTTTCTGCCTCTTGGCACTGAATGAGATAAACAAGGACAATGGATGTTTTTCAAAGAAGGAAGACACGTCTCCTTCCTCCTCCTCGTCTTCTTCTTCTTCTTCTTGCGGGCCTCTATTTTTCCGTCTTTCTCGAGAGATCTTCCGCTCTAAAATTACGCTGACTACGGACAAGTTAGTAGCTTGAGATTAAAGAGGATCCAGAGGCACTAGGACAAGATTAACAAGCCGCCTGTTATGACAATTGAGGTATGTACTTCCATTTTCCCTTCTTTTTTCTTCTTTTATGAGCTCATTTGCTGATCAGCATTTGCATTTGGCAATACACATCTGACTTGGTTTTTCTCTCTCCTTTTTTCATGCATTTATCTTTTGATGGTTGGCTAAATTTGTTGTAATTTGCAGAGCCTAGATGGAGATATCGTAGACTGTATCCACAAAAGAAGACAGCCAGCTTTGGATCACTCCCTTCTAAAGAATCACGAGATCCAGGTGCACCAGCAAAAAAAGTTATTTCCTCTCTTCTTCTTTTTTTGGTTTATTTATTTATTTTTACTTTTATGGATACACATTCTGCTTGAAACACTGGGCAAAAAGGGAGAGATATATAGAGAAATGCAAGCTCATATTATATTGCATCTTGCAGAGAAATGCAAGTATATATCATTTGGCATGTTTAATTTTTTCATTTGTTTTTAGCTCTTAATCCTACGTCAAGCTCCCGAAATGCAATTTGTTTTAGTGCAGCAAAATGTGAAAAACAATGAAAAATCTTGAGTAGTAAATCATCAGTAATTCGAAGCTGCATATGTCAATATATATAAAATACCCTTTGAAAAGAACAACGGAAAATCTTCTAACTTATAGTTTGATATGCAAAATGAACAAAGAGGTAAAAAGAAAGGCCATATGATTCTTTTCCATGTCAGTTGTAGCATTTACGTGAAGAAGAATAGTGACTGAACAATAATTTTGGGGAACAGAAAGCGCCACCAGAAATGCCCCAGAGGAGATCAATCATGGGCAAACTGCACGCTGCTTTGGCCTCGACCAACAGCAGCGAAGCGGCGAAGGGCATGTGGCAAACGTCGCACCGGAATGGCGTGCGATGCCGGAGGGGCACGGCCCAGT